GTGATCCTGCTCCTGTGGAAAAGTCAGATTAACTTAACCAAGCAGTTTCCTTGAAATATACAAAAACTACTTGATTAGATATTTGTCCTATCAACTGACTTAAATCCATCTGAACCAGAGCTGGAATATAATTAAAATTTTTCAACTCAGGGGTTGGGGTTGAGTGCATCACTCAAGGCCCCAGGTTCGATCCTCAAAACTGCAAAAGAAATTAATTCATAAAATTCTTACAGAAACAGAGATTAATGCCCAAGTTGTTGCTCCAGCAGTGATATCTAGACATTTACACCCAATGTTTTATAACCCAATACCACTAACAAGAATATTTTATAAAAACAAGCAAACATTTACGGAGGCCTCTGGAAGGAAGAGGGTACCAGGAGCATTTCTGTGTAACTCAAAACAATATTGGAGAAAAGGCAGAGATTGGGGTAAATGTGGAGATCACACAGTGGTAGTTTCCTTAGAATGTTACATATATAAAGTGGAATAAAGTGAATAATTTGGGGAAATTCTACCATCTCCCAGTTCCTTTTTTTTTGGTACCAGGGATCAAACTCAGGACCTTGTACTTTCAAGGCTGGTTCGGCACCACTGAGTTAAATCCCCGGCCCCATCTGCCAGTTCTTACAGAACCAGGATTCTCAATGTGGAAAAGTGATAAAGATGTAATAAAAAAAGTTTAAAACTATCACATTAACTCATGAGATAATTTACTTCAAAAAAAATCTCTTCCCTGTCCACTGAAGAGCTACAAGAGTTCAATTACCAAATCAATAACAATAAATATCCTCAGTTCCCAGATTTAAATCACTAAATACCACTTCCCAATAAAACAAGGAGACCTTAGAGCAATGGCTGATTCCAAGTAAAAGCAGAAAATGTACAAGATAAGTTTGGAATATTTTGTCCTAACAATTTATAAGGACACTGCCAGTGATTACTAGGACCATGTTCCAAAGCACTCAAGAGCCAGCGTGAAGCAACTTGCTCTAGCCAAAGATGGGCTAATATGAACTTCAAAAACAGTTAACCAAAGCCTAGCAAATGTTTAAATCACTAAGTTTATAATGATATTTTTAAAAATACTAATTATTCACCTTTGAAGGATGATGGGTAATCAGTTATCTTAAAAATTGATAAATTGAGCCGGGTGTAGTGGTATACACATGTAATCCCAGCACTTGGGAGGCTGAGGCAAGAGAAACAAGTGAGTTCAAGACCAGCCTGGGTTACGGAGTAAATTCAAGGCCATGGTTCCACCGCCTGCCTCGAAAGCACAAGGTCCTGAGTTCAATCCCCGGTACCAAAAAAAGAAAAAAAAAAATGTGGTTTCAAAGCAAAACATCTATCAGGCCAGGGATTTAGCTCAGTGGTTCTGCTGCCTGCCTCCCAAGCACAAGGACCCAAGTTTGATCCCCCATACCAAAAATATTCAAGGTCAGACTGAACTACATAGTGAGAGTCTGTCTCAAAAAAAAAAAAACCAAATAAATAAATAAAGTGTGCAAAGACTAAACAATAGCAATTAGGGATACACATGGATGATAAAATTCCAACAGCCATGCAATCTTGAGAATGACATGTTACAAGACTCATAGAAAGGGCCAACAGCTATCTGGTAAACAACCATCTGTGGAGAACTACCATTCTATCAAACCTAAAATTTCCTATTTTTAAAAACTATGAGCAGGGAATGGTGGCACACACCTGCAATCCTAGCATTCTGGGAGGCTTAGCCAGGAGGATTGCAAATTCAAACCTAGTCTGGGAAACTTAGTGAGACCTGTCTTTTTTTTTTTAAATGAAGTCTCACTATGTAGTTCAGGCTGGTCTGAACTCACTGCTGTTCCCCCTGCCTTAGCCTCCCAAGTGCTGGGATTATAGGTGTGCAGCACCACACCCAGCTGAGACCTGAGACCTGTCTTTAAAGCTAAAAAATTAAAAGGGCTAGGAATGTAGCTCAGTGGGAAGCCCCAAGTTCAATTCCTAGCACCAAAAAAGTCACAAAAAGAGAGCTTCTATTTTACTGTTTAGAAAGGATCAGTTCTACTCCATACTGTCCCCCTCAAGTATTTTACCCAAGCTTATACTGCTTGTCAGTGGTACAGGTCTCTATTAGGTGTATTCTGTCCATTACTTATCATGCAGTCTTGCAGACAGAGAAAAAGCTACTTTAAATCTCAGGGATTTAGCTCAGTGGTGCTGCGACTGCCTCACAAGTGCAAGGTCCTGAATTCAATCCCCAGTACCAAAAAAGAAAAAAAAAGCTACTTAAGGTCCAAGAATGCTGCAATGGCAGTGTATAGGTTGATGATGTAGCCACAAGAAGGAAAGGAGGTAATGGGAGATATTTCCTTCTGTCATTAACTGAGACAGAATGAAGTGACCACACATGTGCAAGTATTGGGACGCTGAAAGAACACAAGCCACATTAAAGACCTGGAAAACCTGTGAGAGTCTGAAATGAAAAGAGGTACACAGGGCTGGGGATTTAGCTCAGTGGTTTTGCCGTCTGCCTTGCAAGCACAAGGTCCTGAGTTCGATCCCCAGTACCAAAAAAAAAGGAAAAAGGGGGCTAGTAATGTAGTTCAGTGTGAAGGTGCTAGGTTCAGTTGCCGGTATCTCTCCCCAAAAATAGAAAGATGGAAATGAGAGCTGGGGCAAGAGATTGACAAGGCGGAAAAAGAAAGTAGTACATAAAGAAAATCACCAGAATTCTAAAGCAGGAAGAATATTTGTGCAAAGAAAATGTTCTGAGAAACTACTTCATCGTTACAGCACTTGCCTAGCAGAGCAAGATCATGGATTAGATCTTCAGCACCAAAAACAAACAAAAAAGACATAAAATTACAAACAAATATTACACACTAGGTAATGAGATACATGCTGAAGTGTCTAGGGGTATAGTATATTAATGTCTAAATAAGATAGAAAATAAGTAAGCTATGGGCCGGGGATTTAGCTCAGTGGTTTCACCACCTGCTGCATAAGCGCAAGGACCAGAGTTCGATCCCCAGTACCAAAAAGAAAAGAAAATAAGTAAGCTAGGAGAATAATGGCTGGCTAAAGAGATATGATAAACAGAGAAAAGATAATTGAGTATGAGTGTTCACTGTATAACTCATAAATTTTCTTTGTTAAATTATTTTCATAATAAAATGTATGAGGGAGATATTGAGCAGATAGAAAAAGAAGCCCTGAAGGAAGGCCATTAAGTTTAGAGGGATAAGGGTGAAACAGTTAAACAATCAAAAAGAAGGCCAGGCCTGGTGGCGCACACCCAGCACGCAGAGTACTATAATCCCAGTACTCTGAAGGCTGAAGCACTAGGGTCCCCATGACTGCAAGTTCAAGGCCAGCCTGGGCTACACAGTGAGTTCAAGACCAGGCAGAACTACATAGTGAGACCCTGTCTCAAACAAAACAAAACAAAACAAAACAAAACTGAGAAAATGAAATCATGGACCACTTATAGAAAATCACTCACTGGTACATGATGAGTATCACTTCAAAAATGTGCCTGGGGGGTCCGGGATTTAGCTTAGTGGTTCTTCCACCTGCCTTGCAAGTGCAAGGACCCACGTTTGATCCCCGGTAACAAAACAAAACAAAAATGTGCCTGGTTCAGGACAGTACAAGACAGATCAAGGTAAAGCTGGGGCGCAGCTCAGTGGCAAAGCACGTACATGCACAAGGTCTTGGGTTCAATCCCCAGTACACCAAAAATAAAAAAGACAAAGGCTAAGGATTTTGGCTGAAATCTTTCACAGAAAGTATTTAAAACTCACAAAGCGTAATAGGGAGAGAACAGCAACAAAGGTCGGCTCTATAGGCAGTGATTTTTGTTGATTTTTCAGTGCTGGAGATCAAACTCACAGCCTTACATTTGCAGAGCAAGTACTACACCACTGAGTTACACTCCCCAACCAAAGGCACTGATATTTAAACTTCATAACTGCCTGAGAATTGTTTGTGCTTTGTAAATGTGTATAATTAACAAAAACAAATCCTCCTCAACCTCATTAAGATATCCTATAAAATGTTAACAAAAAAGCTCTTGAATCAAGAGAACCTGTTGGGGCCGGGGATTTAGCCCAGTGGTTCCGTCGCCTGCCTAGCAAGTGCAAGGACCCGAGTTCAATCCCCGGTAACATCAACAAAAAAAGAACCTGTTGGTTTTAAAAATGAAGTTATTAATAGCTTCATGCACGCTAAGCACAAACTCTACCACTGCGCTATACATACCTAACACCTACGTGTTTCTATATTTTCATTTTGATATTTTTTCTCCCATACATTTCTAACTATAAAGTCACTATTCACTGCCATACATAAAAACTAATTACTGATTTACTAAAAAACCTAGCTTTTAGCACCAGGGATTTACCACAGTGGTTTAGACACCTGCCTCGCAACCACAAGGTCCCAAGTTCGATCCCCCATACCAAAAAAAAAAAAAAAACACCTAGCTTTTTCAGCTTAAGTATACGACTCAGATAGTCTTTGCATTTCGCTTCAGTGATATCAAGGGTCTTTTTGTTGTTGTTTTTTTTGTTACCAGAGATCGACCTCGAGTCCTTGCACTTGTGCAGCAGGTATCGGGTATCGGAACCACTGCGCTAAATCCCCGGCCCGTGATACCAAGTTTTATTCCTGAGTACAAACTAAACTTCTGAAAGCATAGCTGATAACTTTTTGGTACCGGGGATCGAACTCAGGTCCTTGAACTTGCAAGGCAGGTGGTGGCACCACTGAGCTAAATCCCCGGCCCATAGCTAGTAACATTTAGCAGCTGTAAACAACCACAGTATTTCAACATTAGCATTAGCATATTAAGAAAATACTAAATTTTAATAGGAACATTAAATTATTTTTACTTTCATAAAATATCCTACATACCTTAGTTAAGAAGAAAATTACATATTCAATAAACAATTCAATAAATATTGGATATACAAAGCACCAAACATAAATTAAGAGTATAATAGGGAAGTTACCAGGCTGAGCTCTAGAAGTATCAAGAGGTCTGTACAGCTTGGGGAAAAAAAGAGGAAAAAGCAGGGTCAACTGGTAATTCTGGGTTAAACAAGATTAGTGTATGTACCCACCCCACTACTGACATCCACCAGGCCAACTCTCTGAAAGAAATTTTGGCCAAGAAAATCAGCACAGCTGTCTTTCTCTACATTGCTCATCCACTCACATGACTTATCAAAAAGCTAACCTCTTTTCACAATAAAGTGTGCTGACAGCTTTTCTACTAAGCCAAATTTTTGTTTTTGGATCTGTCACCCAGAAAATTTGGAAAATATAACAAAGTAGGGTCACTTTTTTTAAACCATCCTATTCCCACCACCAGAAATAAATATTAACACAATCTATCAGACTTTTTTCTTTAATGTTCAATAATTTTGCTCTAATTTGGGGTCTTTTCTCATTTGAACAGAAACAATGCACTTTCAATTAACATTTTGAATCATAATTTTCAAATATTAAAATCACCTCAAAATTTACATGCGATACACAGTAAGAATAAAGGTTACCACCTCTTGATCACAATCATGCAATTTCTAATTCTTACAATCATCCTGTAAATATCATATCCCATTTTTTAGGGGGTACCAGGGATCGAACTCAGGCCCTTGCACTTGGGAGGCAGGTGGTGGAACCACTGAGCTAAATCCCCAGCCCCCCATATAATTTTTTTGGTACTGGGAATCGAACTTCGGACCTTGCTCTTTCACAGCAGGCAGCAGAACCATTGAGCTAAATCCCCAGCCCAGCCTCCCATATTTTTAAGAGTTTGTACGTCCCCAAGATACTAGAGAAACACTAACCCAGTGATAAAATTGATCATTAGTATATGAAACAAATTCAACTTAACGAATCTGTCTCAAATAAAACATTTTTTTAAAAAGGGATGGAGATGGGCTGGGGATTTAGCTCAGTGGTTTCACCACCTGCTGCACAAGCTCAAGGACCCGAGTTCGATCCCCAATACCACAAAAAAAAAGGGATGGAGATGTAGCTTAGTGCAAAGGCCCTACATTTAATCCCCAGTAACCTCCCATATACTAACACTTCTATGGTATTTCTATCAAAAAATGCACAATCTAACTCCAATCATGAAAAAATATCAGATAAACTCAAACTGAAAGACACTAAACAAAACTGCTCTGTATTCTTCAAATATGTCAATGTCATGGAACATTAAGGAACAGTATAACATTAAAAGAGATTATGGGGGGCCGGGGATTTAGCTCAGTGGTTCTACCACCTGCCTCGCAAGTGCAAGGTCCTGAGTTCAATCCTTGGTACAAAAAAAAGAGAGAGAGACTATGGGGCAGGGTTGTAACTCAGTGTTCAGAGTGTATGCTTAGCATACACTAGGCCGTAGATTCAATTCCCAGCACAAAACAACAGAAAGAGACAGACTGAAGAGAACTGATATCTAAATACAATGCGTGATCAAGGATTTAGCTAAAAAGCCAGACAGGGTGGCACATACCTATAATCCTAGCACTTGAGAGGCTGAAGCAGGAGGACTGCTTGAGTTTGAAGCCAGCCTGGGCTATAATAAGTTCATTCAAGGCCAGCCAGAACTACAGAACAACACCTTGTCTCAAATCTTACACCGAAAAAGATAAAAAAGACATTATTGAAACAATTTGGATAAATATAAATGAAATGTTCTTTTATGTCAAGAGAGTTGGCTTTCTGATTTTGGAATAATTGTACTAGGATTATCTAAAAGATCCTCCTTTTAATATACATTGAAGTATATAGGAGTAAAGAAGCATCATGTCTATAATTTATTATCAAAAGGTTTAGGAAAAAAATAAAACAAAAAAAGGTTCAGGAAGGGCTAAAGATATAGCTCAGTAGTAGAACACTTGCCTAGCATGTATAATACCCTAGGTTCAATACCCAGCATTACAAAAAAAAAAAAGGTTTGGGGAAAACTGTGGATGTGATGGAGAAAAAACCCCAAAGTAAATGTGGTAGAAATATTAACATCTAAGGTATCTGGAAATTATTTACACTATTCTCAACATTTTAAGAGCCTAGAAATTTTCTTTTCTTTTTTTTTGAAATTTTTTTTTTCGAAATTTTATTTTAAAAACTGAAGCTCTAAAAATTAAATAACTTTTCTAATTAGTAAATTGGTAGACCCAAGACCTAAATGGGGGTGTGTGTGTGTGTGTGTGTGTGTGTGTGTGTGTGTGTGTGTGTACAAATTTAAAAGAGATATCCTAGCCAAAAAGGTGATGCACACCTGTAATCCCAGCTACTAGGGCAATTAAGGCAGGAGGATCCCAAGGTTGAGATCAGCCTGGGCAATTCAGTGAGACCTTGTGTCAAAATTTTAAAAAAAAAAGGCTGGGTATGTAGCTCAGTGGTAGAGCTCTTGCCTAGCAAGGACAAGGCCTTGGAGTTCTATCTTTTTTTTTTTTTTTGGTACTGGGGATCATACTCGGGACCTTGCATTTGTGAGGCAGGTATCGGCACCACTGAGCTAAATCCCCAGCCCTGGGAGTTCAAACTCTAATACAAGGTGTAGGGGAGGGAGAGTGTGGGGGACACAGATGAACAGACACTTTCACCATGCAGCTTGGATAGGTCATTTCAAAACTCCACCACCAGACATTTAGAAGTAGGCATCAACATCTTACCCAATAAAGCCACTTTGTTCCCAATTTAAGGTTACTTTCTTAGAAGACACTTCCCAGAATGGGAACGGGATTGATGAAATAATAAGCATATAATTTTTCTTTTTTTTCCCTTTTTTAAAAATGGTGCTGGAGATTGAACCTAGGACCTCACACATGCTATGCAAGCAGCCCATCTCTTAGCTACACCCCCAAGTGCAATATGAAAGAGCTCTCCAATGCATAATATTGCTCTTTTGAAAAATTCTCAAAGTACTTTTACAAAAAGGAGTATTAAAAACCTGATGATCAGCCAAATATGGTGGTACACTCTGTAGTTCCAGCTATTCAAGAGGCTAGAGTAGGAGGATGGCTTCAGCCCAAGAGTTCAATTCTTTTTCCCTCCCTCTGTCCCTATCCCTCCCTCGCTTCCTTTCCCTCCCCCTCTTCCTCTCCCTCTCTCTCCCTCCCTCCCTCCTTCCCTCCCCCACTCTTGGGACATAGGGAATGCTACCCCTCCTCCAATCTAGACACTGATTCTTTGCAAATCAGCTCAGACTTATTTTCCTTGGGAGGGAAGGAAGAGGATACAGTTTACATTCCCAACATTTCGTTTGCTCTCCTTCAGAGCTCACACTTTATTTTCATTAATTTGGTAAATAAAAAAATATAATGACTGTTTTGATTCTTGTCTTTTGGGGTTTTTTGGGTTTTTTGAGACAAGGCTCTCACTATGTAGTCCAGGCTTGTCTTGAACTCACTATGGAACCCAGGCTGGCCTCAAATTCATGGTAATCCTCCTGCTCAGCCTTTCAAGTACTGGGATTACAAGCATCTGACACCACTCTCAGTTTGCTTTCATTTTTTTTTTTTTAAATGATTAACAGGGCTGTACTTCTTTTCTTTCTTTTTTTTGGAGACAGGGTCTCGCTATATAGTTCAGGCTGGACTTGAACTCAGTATTGTAGCCCAGGCTGGCCCCACACTCAAGGCAATCCTCCTGCCTCAGCCTCTCAAGTACTGGGACTACAGGTGTGCACCACCATACCCAGCCTGCACTTCTGATTACTTCTAATTTTAATTATTCCCTTTCCTTCTTTTTTTTAAAATTTTTTGTCTGGTTTTGGTTTTTTATGACAGGGTCTCGCTATGTAGTTCAAGCTGGTCTTGAACTCACTATGTAGTCCAGAATAGCCTGGAACTGTTGGTAATCCTTCTACCCCAGCCTCTCAGCCTGAGATTACAGGCACACATCATCACATGCAGCAAAAAAGAAAATATGGTATCTTAAAGAGATGTTGTGGGGGCACGTAAGTTAATATTTGTTTTTGTCACTTCTGAAGAAATTATGGAAACCATTTACAGGTCTGATGAGTGAGCCAACATAATGGATCAGGTTGTTAATTTAAATACTGAAATGGTCAGTATTGAATTTTATAAAGGGAGCTGGGGATTTAGCTCAGTGGTTCCACTGCCTACCTTGCAAGCGGAAGGACCTGAGTTCGATGCCCAGTATCAAAAGAAAAAAAAATTTTTATGAAGAACTCAAAGATAGCCAGGCGTGGTGGCACACACCTATAATCCCAGCACTCAGGAGACTGAGGCAGGAGGATCACCTTGAGTTTGAGACCACCCTGGGCTACACAGTGCATTCCAGGTCAGCCTCAACTATATACTGAGACCCTGTCTCAATAAACCAAAGGAAAGACTGGGGTTTTAGCTCAGTGGTGCTGAGCCTACCTTGCAAGTGCAAGGTCCTTATAATCCCCAGTACCGGAAAAAAAAGAAAAAAAGAAATTTAAAAAAAAACTGGGCATGGTGGCACATGCCTGGGATTCCAGCAATTGGGATGTTGAGGCAGGAGGATCACCCTGGTCAGCCTGGGCTACATAGTGAGTTCAAGGCCAAGCTAAACTACATAGTGAGACCCTGTCTCAAAAAACAAAAAACAAACAAAAAAACCCTCAAAGATATAAGCAGTCAAGAGGTATAAAAGAAGCAGGGAAAGGGTGTGGGACCAATGGTTCTCCTTCCTGCAACACATATATCCTATGGTTAGCAGTAATAGATGAAGTTTCTTTTTTTCTTCCCTCCCTCCCTCTTGCCCAGCTAAATATTACTTCTTTGATAACAGATCACTCATTAAGTAAACTCTGTCAAATACGCACTTAAAAAAGGGATAATCTGTGGGCCAGAGATTTAGCTCAGTGGTTCTACCACCTGCTTTGCAAGTGCAAGGTCCTGAGTTCGATCCCTGGCACCAAAAAAAGGGATAATCTGGCCCTAAAAGTACAAAGTTTTTCTTCATCAGTTTCTAAATAAATACCTATCGAAGTGAGAGTATTTAGGAGCAATCACTGATACCACAAATGTCTGTGTGTTAATACTAGCCAAAATACTAGCTAATCTTACTTTGGATTTAATGTGATAATTAAGCAACCTGTGCATTGTGCCCCTCAATGAAAATAGAGCACTGTCAGAAATGCTTATAAAAAGCATTTACAGCTGGGCATGGTGCATCCACCTGTAACCCAGCACTCCAGGGGCTATGGCAAGAGGATAACAAATTTAAGCCAAGCCTGGGCAATTTAGCAGCTTAGTAAAACCCTGTCTCCAAATAAAAAAAAAAAAAACGGAATGGGGTGTAGCTTAGTAGCAAAGCCTTGAGTTCAATTCTCAGAACCAAAAAAAAAAAAAAAGGTACTTGTAAGAGCTAGGGATATAACTCAGTGGTAGAGCACAACCCTGGCATGTGACCCTGGGTTTGATCCCCACTACTTTTTTTTTTTTTTTTCTTGCGCTTGCGAGGCAGGAGGCAGAACCACTGAGCTAAATCCACAGCCCCAAAACATTGTTTCCATTTTTAAATTTTCTTTTTTGGGGGGGTACTGGGGATCGAACTCAGGTCCTTGCTCTTACAAGGCAGGCAGCCGAACCGCTGAGCTAAATCGCCAGCCCCTTGATCCCCACTACTACAAAACAAAAAACAAAACAAAAACTAAACTAAAAAATTGTACTTAATTATCAATGTGTAGTCAAAGCATCAATGTGAAATTAGGATGGACCAGATAAGGCTTATTTACCCACTCACATACAACCTCTAAAATGAGGTTTGCCAATCTAGTCAATAGGTTATATAATGTTAACTTTGTACCAGATACTGTGCTCAGAGATTTGCTTGAAATGTCTAAATTCATTTAAACAAATAATATAGGGGCTGAAGGTGTAGTTCAGTGGTAGTGCACTTGCCTAGCACAAAAGAACCCCTGGGTTCAATCCATAGCACTAAAGGAAAGGAGGGAGGGAGGAGTAAAGGCAGGAAGGAGATGCCCTACATGTTGACAAGTAGCTGAAATTCAGGATTAAATTGTTCTCATGGAACACATCCAAATATATCTTATTCAACAATATGACCTCTTTCATATTATTTACTATCTAGTTTTTAAATATACACTTCAAAATCCTGAGCTTTCCTATTTAAAAAAAATGAACTCATGTGCTCTAATTTCCTTAATTCTAAATAAGACTAACAAAAGTTCCATAAAAGCTTACCTGTACCACTTGTTTCTGTGGTTGTGCTGCCTGTGTTGCTGAAATCTGTGTTTTCTCCCGAGCACCTCGGCAACGGTCATTGCTCACTGAAGTCATCATATACAATGTGTACAAAATAGAAAATCTGCAAGAAAGTAGGTATAGTAAGGAAAACTTGCAAATCAGAATAAAAGGGAAACATATAACTCGGGAAAAGAGGACATGTAAAATAAAACATAAAAGCTCTCTTGAAAACTTGTATTCCAGAGAGCTTTTATGTTTTATTTTATTATTCTTTAGAGTTGTAGATTTTGCTTGTGGTAATTTTTTCCTTATTATTTCTCTTTTAGGGGTAGGTATGCTAGGGATTAAATCCAGAATCTCATGCATGCTCAACACATTCTACCACACTCTACCACTCAGCTACACCCCTATATACTGGTAGTTTTTTCAACTAATTTTAATAGTAAACATCTAGGGGCCAGGGATTTAGCTCAGTGGTGCTGCCGCCTGCCTCACAAGCACAAGGTCCTGAGTTCAATTCCCCGTACCAAAAAAAAAAAAGTAAACATCTAGGAACATAGGAATTCTAAACAAAACCTCAAGCATTAATAATTTTAACTAGCACTCATTTTACCATTATGCTGTAGTTCTAGCTGCTCTTCTATTTGCAGGTGGACACAATATGGCATCCAGCCAAGCTTTTACCTGACAATAACCAAATTCAAAATGTGATGTCAGCTGTGGCACTGAGGCCAGCCTGAGCTATGTAGTGAGTTCAAGGTCAGCCTAAACTACATAGCAAGACCCTGTCTCAAAAAACAAAACCAACAAACAAAAACACAAGATCAAAAAACAAGTTACTGGCCCAGGGATTTAGCTCAGTGGCACCACGTCTACCTCATAAGTGCAAGATCCTGAGTTCAACTGGGGTGGAGCAGACAAGCTATTATTCAGCTGAGGTGTAGCTAGCACCCTGGGTTCAATCTACAGAGGGGGTACACCTAAGGGGACAGGCTATACCTAACAGAAAAAAAACACCTGTGAACAATAAACCTTCCAAGGAGACAAAAACAACTGTACACATATGCAGCAAAATAACTTTCAGAGCCCAGGAGGGTGGCACACCTGTAGTCCCAACTAATTAAGATGTCAAGGAGGAGGCTCACTTAAGGCCAGGAGTAACTCTCCAGCCTTTGCAACATAATGCAATCCCCATCTCAAAAAAAAAAAAAGCTGGCACAGTGGCCCATGCCTATAATCCCAGCACTGAGAGAGGCTGAGGCACAAGGATCACAAGTTCAAGTACCTCCTGGACAATTCAGGAGACCTCGTCTCAAAAATTAAAAAGGACTGGGCCGGGGATTTAGCTCAGTGGTTTCACCACCTGCCTCGCAAGCGCAAGGATCTGAGTTCAATCCCCAGTACCAAAGAAAATAAAAAATAAAAAATAGAAAAAAGAAGGACTGAAGAGTGCACCTGGGTTCGATCCTCTGAACCAGGAAAAAATACACCTGGCTGAGATAGAACTGACATTTTGCAGAACAAGCATAGGGAAAAAAAATGTGACTAAAATCCTCTGGAAAAAACAGCTCACAAAACACATGCAGTTAATGATATATATGATGCAACACACTTAATGTTTTTCTTTTTTTAAATATTTATTTAAAAAGGAACTCTTCAACTCACTAAATTACCAAGGCTTGAACTTCTGATCATTCTACCTCAGCCTCCTAGAGTGCTGGACTACAGGCATGTATCACCATGCCTGGCTTATAAACAAATTTTTTTCTTTTGGTTTTTTGAGGCAGGGTCTCCCTTTGTAGTTCAAGCTGGCCCTGAACTCACTACGTAGCCCAGGTTGGCCTCAAACTCTCGGTGATCCTCCTGCCTCAGGAGTGCTGGGATCACAGGCATGTGCCACTATGGCCAGCATAAACAAATTTCCTTACATTAATTTTACATAAAATTAACTTTTTTGGTGGTACCAGGGATGCAACCCAGTGCTTTGTACATACTACCTGAAAACTCGACGACTGAGCTACATCCTCCTAGGTTCAAAGCCCAGCAACACAAAAAAAGAAAGAAAAGGGCCGGGGATTTAGCTCAGTGGTTCTGCCGCCTGCTTCTAAAGAGCAAGGTCTCCAGTTCAATCCCTGGTATCAAAAAAAAAAAATCACTTTGGCAAAAGGAAGAAAAGCAGAATTGCTTCTGCAATAAGGACCTATTTGCCAAATCATAGGAATTCAGTTTACACCTGTGTTCCCTTCCTCTTATCACTCTCTACCCTAAAGAGCTCTACTACTCTGAAAAACCCAAGAGTATTCTTAGAATAGAAACAGACAAGAGCAAGAGATTCTAAAAATAATCCAGCAGCAACTGAAACATACATATCTCAGGTTCCTGAGCTGCAAGAGGCACCAGGTTACTCCAATCTATCCAATCAAATTTTAAAACCTTTATTTACTTCATTGTAGTCAAAGAAAATTAACAACGTGATAGATTTTTAACATAGATAAGAGCTGCTGCCACAGCAGTACTGAAGATTGAACCCAGGGCCTTTGCACTGAGCTACATCGGCACTTTTTTTTTTGAGACGGGGGTCTCACTGTGTACCCCAGGCTCGCCTAGAAGTCACAATGATCTTCTGGCCTCAGCCTCCCCAGTGCTGGGTTTATAAACCTGTGCCAATAACCCCAGCTTTTTTTTTGAGACAGGGTCTTGCTAAGTCACTAAGTGGCTTAGTTTGAACTGAGTTTGAACTCATCTTCCTGCCTCAGCCTCCAAGAATGCTGGGATTAAAGGTTTGCAACATCAGGCCCACCTTAAGAAAGATCTTAATAGCAAAATGACTGCCTTTTTCAAACAAAATAAAATTCTTTTTTTGAGACAGGTCTCATGTAATTCAGGCCTTGAACTCACTATGTAGCCCAGTCTGGGCTCAAACTTCTGGCAATTCTCCTGCCTCAGCCTCTCCAGTGCTGGGATTATAGGTATGCACAATCATGCCCAGCTCAAACAAAATATAATTAAATCAGACAACATGAACTATTTATTGGGCTAAGAGCTCAACCACTAAAAACAGTATACACAACTGATGTTCAGGAAGCAAGTCTCCATCAAGAATACCTACTAAAGGGCCAGGGATTTAGCTCAGTGGTTCTGCCGCCTGCCTCGAAAGCTGAAAGACCCAAGTTGGATCCCCAGTACCAAAAACAAAAAAACAAAACAAGAATACCCACTTAAAAAAAAAAAAAAACAGAGGGCCGGGGATTTAGCTCAGTGGTTCTGTGGTTCCGCCGTCTGGCTTGCAAGCTCAAGGTCCCAAGTTCGATCCTCAGTACCAAAAAAAAAAAAAAACCCAGAATACCCACTCAGGGGGAATTGGTGCTTATAGTCTCAGCACTGAGGAGGCTGAAGCAGGAGAATCTCAGTCAAGTGAAAGGTCGGCCTGGATTACAAAACAAGAATCTGTCTCAAAAAAAGAACAAGACGGAGAACAAGAACAAAAAGGAGAAGAAAGAATGAAAGAGAGAGAAAGAGAAAGAAAAGAAGAGAAGAGAAAAGAAAAAGAGAAGGAGGGATGGAGGGAAGGAATGCTCAACTGAAATGCTATGTTCACTCCATTATGAAACCAATGTTGCAAGGACTATCTCTTAGACTGGCAAGGATTGGTCCAGGGTCTTTCAACTGTTCAAGTGTTCTCAATTCCGAAAGTCTAAAGCTAGTAGAGAACGGTAATAGTAGAGCAAACTCACATAGTTCACTATGTGCCAGACACCATTTTAAGGACTTTACATACACAGTACTAAGTCACGAATCTTTCCAATAGCACTTGAGGAACATATTACTCCCATTTTATCACTGAGTATAAGCACAGCTAGTTAAGTGAAAGCCTAATCCAACTGAAGCTACAGATTCAAACCTAGGCCACCTGGCTCAACAGTCCACACTTTTAACTACAATGGTAGACTGAATAGTGCCCAATTTGGCTTCTTCTCCTACAAAGGTCCAAAACTACTGTTGGCATCACTTGCATTAGCTCACACCTAATGAGAAAGATTTCATGTGGGTCAGAATCTCACCAAGCTCCCTCACTCCAACATACCTATAGGAGTACCCATACCTTTAGGAGTCTGTATCATTTGTTTTGTTTTGGTTTTGTTTTGTAGTACTGAGGATCAAACCTAGGGGTACTCTTACCATTGAGCTACAACCCCAGTCTTTTTTATTTTAAGAGAGGGTCTCGCTAAATTGCCCAGGCTGGCCTCAAATTTGCAGTCCTCCTGCCTCAGCCTCACAAGCAGCTGGGATTACAGGCATGTGTACCACAGCCAGATTTTGTTTATTATTTTTATTTAGTTCCTAATCTGTGTTCCTGTTTTTTCTAAGACCCATTACTCTCAACCTTTTTCTGCAAAGGAAATTTATTTATTACATTAAGAAGCTCAACTGAGTTGGGAAGTCCAGTACAGCCAGCAAGAAGTCTATATGTTCAATCCAAGAAAGAATAAAGCAACTTAGTCCCAAAGAACTCAACTACATGACCTAATTCCATGCAGCTCAACTGCTAGTGCCCTACATGCCAGTAGCTGACCAAGCTGACACTTTTATTCTCCACAGCTGCAGAGGCCATACTCAGGTCTCTAGCAGCTGGTGGACAAGGATACACTCCCCTACACCCACACTTGGCAGACATGGGGACCACAATGTTATCAGCTGTCCTGCTAACGTAAGCTGTCCATGCAAAGATGAGTGTCAGCAAACTCTTGAACATCACAGGACATCAAATTTTCTTTAGTACAGTCACATTTCTCTGATTGGGGAATATTTAATTGCCTATGGTTGCTTTCACACGTCCCATTCCCTTTGTTTGTGTTTTTTGAGACAGGGTCTTACTATGTAGTCCAGGCTAGCCTCAAACTCCCAGCGATCCTCCTCCCCCTGCCTCCCCAGTGCTCGAATTATAGGTGTGCACCACCACACTCAACTCACATCCCATCTCTATTGGCTTTCTCAGCTCTAAATTGTCTGGGGCTTGGGAAGGTGGGAGGGAGACCCCGACAGGACACTGAATACTGAACCTAGGGCTTCAAACATGTAAGGCATTGGGTGTGGTGGTGCACACCTGTAATTTCAGCACTC